GGGGGGGGGGGGGTGCCAGTGGTTGAGAATAGTTAGGTTAGACTTGTCTTGGTTCTGCACCCAAGTGAGGCTACGGAACGGGCTCCAGGATATTATTTTAATTTGTTTTACTTTGCACTAACATTATTGGCATTAAAGGAAAAATGTGTTGTTCAGAATTACACTTTCCTTTTCCATCCTCATGATGTTTGTTTTGTGCCTGTTTTTGTGTTTTCTTGTTCTCAATGGATAATGTAAAATCATTAATTCATCTAACTTTTTTTTGTACATGTGTCTGCTCTGTGCTAGGTATATAAAAATAATTTGGCAATCTTATAGAACAGGAAACGGTGGGTGGTGTGTGTGTGTTTAATTTACAAAAATGGGCACTGACCTCCAAATAGTCCCTCTTGCTGTTCTTAGCCCTTCACTTCTCCTCTTCCTCTATCCTTTTATGTTTTCTTAGCAACATGAATGTTTTAATAAATACTGCTATGTGTACACATTACACCTAATTAATTTTTCAATTTTAATTTGAGTTTTCAAGCATCCCTTGAGTTTTGCCAATGGAAGATTCTGCAGCTGAATTCCTTAGGGAAAAGTGGACTGACTGAATAGAAGGAAGCATATTAAAATCAGTGTTGAAACAATTCTGGGATAATTTTCCTTTAAAGAGAGAATGTTTGTATGGTACTAGTAGGAAAAATGTGTCTAGAGCTTGGTCAGTTGCTTCTTATAGATAGGTAATCTCTCTGATACAAAAGCAAGACCAGTATAATAGCTACCCCAGGGGCTTCAAGGTTCCACTAGCATCTCTCTACCTCATTTGCGATAACAATGCCCTAGCATGTTCCCCAGGAAAAGGTTTGATGTTGAGTCAGGGAACTTGATGATGCAGCCAAATTGCACATCTGTGTTCATTTATGGTCAGCTCTGGTTTTTCTCTTTTTATGCCCATGTCATGGGCCTTTAATTTGGGTAATAAATATACATGGCTTTTTTTGTGCTATGTGCCTTTTATGCTACTGCTTAGCCAGAGGACTTTTAAGCCGTATTTTCCCCTAACAGCCAGGAAGAGTTCTGAGAGTGGGTAGAGAAAGGGGATTTTTAAAATTCTGCTATTTATCAATTTGTGAGTGGGCATGATATTGAAACCTATCAATATTATGCAAGGCAAGATCCCGTCTGGGGATAATCAGGAGCCTGTGGGAGAATTTTTTTGGAAATTGTACTGCTAGAATGCAATTTACTCTCTGAATGTTTATAGAGCTACTCAACCTTGAGAACAAGGTTGATTAGCTTGGAAGCATTGTCTCCATTTCTTAGAAACTACTTAAAACTCTTATCTTTTTTGCAATTGATGCAAACATCTATTTCACTTGAGGCCTTTCTTTTGTGCATTCCAGGGGCTCCAGAGAGGAGAACTTCACTTCCCAACAGAGATGGAATGATGGTCCCCTAAGAGCTGCACCAACACAGGTTAAAGCAATTCATGCACCATGATTCGGAGCCTTGTCTGTACTGGGTAAGTTTGACTCTATGATAAGTCATCTGCTAATTTCTTATTGTTCAATGATAGCGCTCCACTAATAAACAGATTTCTCCTTTGCCCAGTATGAGAGCCCCAAAAGGGTCAGCAAAATCTAGAAATGGAAGAGTAGTTCTCTTAGGCAGATAAGAATCTTAATTACAGATGACACCTTACTGGACTTAGCATATTATTTTGAGAGTCTTGGGATAAATCATCTGAATAAATACNTAGGCAGATAAGAATCTTAATTACAGATGACACCTTACTGGACTTAGCATTATTTTGAGAGTCTTGGGATAAATCATCTGAATAAATACTTCTTTATAACTGGTTTGAAGAACTTAGTACTTAAATGAAAATCCGCATGACCTGCTGATTTTCTACAGAAACATCCACTTGTTTCTTCTGCCTCCCAGCTGACCTCACCTATCAGGAGCTGGGTGAAAATAGGCATCAAGGTTGCTTCAGCAAGTACCTGTTTTCTCAAAGCTTTGCTCATTAATAACCACGTTTAGGAAACAAATTAAAAAAACAGCAAAAAGAATAGTCGGTGTAGGCTCATCTCAAATCCATTTTTATTTTATTTTGTTTTTTTAATGTTAAATGAACATTTATTAACCATTTACCATGCCTGGGCACTGAGTAGAAGTGAAGGCTCAACAGTAAATGGCCCCAAATCTTATTTTTTTTTTAAATTGGTTCTTCTTTCCTTTTTATGTTTGGGGTAACATTGGTTAATAAAATNTTTTTTTAATGTTAAATGAACATTTATTAACCATTTACCATGCCTCGGCACTGAGTAGAAGTGAAGGCTCAACAGTAAATGGCCCCAAATCTTATTGTTTATTGCATTTATTGGGGTAACATTGGTTAATAAAATTATATAGGTTTCAGGTGTACAATTCTATAACACATCATCTGTATATTGTATTGTGTGTTCCCCACCCCAAGTCAAGTCTCCTATCACCATTTATCTCCCCTATACCTCTTTTTACCTTCCCCTACCCCCTTTACTTGTGGTAATCACCAGAGTGTTGTCTATGAGGTTTTTTTTTTCTTAATCCCATCACCTTTTTCACCCAGCCCCCTTCCGTGAGTCTGTTTCTATTTTGTTCATTAGGTTCCACATAGGTGAAAACCTATGGTACTTGCCTTTCTCCAACTGGCTTACTTCACTTAGCATAATGCTCTCCAGGTCCATCCATGCTGTCGCAAAGGGTAAGATTTCCTTCTTTTTTACAGCTGTGTAGTATTCCATGCACCACAGCGTTTTTATCCACTGATGGGCACTTGGGCTGTTTCTAGATCTTATCTATTGTAAATTGCACTGCCATGAATATGCAACATTGTTCTGAATTAGTGTTTCAGGATTCTTTGCAGATAGTCCCAGAAGTGGAATCACTGGGTCGTAAAGCAGTTCCATTTTTTATTTTTTGAGGTAACTGTCATCTGTCTGTGAGTTTATTTTCATGACAGCTATAAATAAATGATTTATCTTTCTGTTAGTAAATCATGGTAGAATCTTTTAGGTGTGTGAATGAATTAAGCAGAGTTTGCCTTACATGACATCGCTTAAGGAGACATGACTTCAGGGTGATGGTCAGGCTTCCTCCCCTGCCCCCATCCTCTTACCTGCTCTGCTACATGAGATTTAGTAATTATATTCCTCCTTTAGTATAAAGTGTTTCTTAGATACTTCTCTATGGGAAGTGTTTGAGGGGAAAGAGGGAGTACAAGGTATTGGGTGTATCTGAGGACTCAGACAGGCTTCTGCCTGCAGCTGGCTCTACACCCCAACTTGCTTCCTTTGTTTCTTACCAAAGGTTCGTGCGGTGCTTGGAAATGAAAGGGGACTTAGTTTTCCTGTCCTGAACTCAAGTCTCAACTCTCATCTAATCTGATGTTTCCTCTTCTACAGCAGGAGAAGAATCATCTTTACCTTACCGTGTGATGAAAGGTAATACTAATATTACTGCACAACACTGTTGACAATTCCTTGTTCCCCAGGGTGTGTCACAAGCTCCCCACACATCTGGTTTGGCTGAACAGCTTAGAGACCTTTCTTTTGACTGCTCCAGCTGTGGTTGCTGCTTGTCCTGTCTTACAACGTAGTACCTGGCCTGCATTACCTTGAACGGGTTATTATCCAGAAATAAATAAGAGATTCTTTCATTAAAAAATTATGTTGATACAGAACTATTTAGATGGAAACCTGTGCACCTAGGAGGAGCATAGTCTTTTTGTAATCCAGTGATAATTTTTAAGTCCATCCATCATACCAGAATTCAGGGTCATCTTAGGTCTAGCTTCCTATGATGTCCCCTGAGGCACAACCAGGATTGTTAAAATTCGGTTTGTATTTATAGAAAAGCACTAGCATAATTCTGTATCTTATATAGAAATAGAAAGGTTTGTTTACATTTGTTAGCAGTTTAATAATAGTGTGTTAAGTTATATTGTTGGTCTGGGGAACTCATGTTCTTATGACAATGTGATAGATATAACCAGAGGTGGTTAGCAGTAATTAGAGTTCCTAAAGTACAGACTTTCCTTAGGTTAGAGAAATATTTATATGCAACACCTGTGTCACATTACAGCCTGGCATGCCTTAGTCCCTCGCGGTTCACAATATGGCCCAGTACCACCTGAGAGCTTGTTTGAAATGCTGAGTCACAGGCCCAGACCTACGGATCAGAATCCACATTTTAACAAGATGCTCGCTGGCAGTACATTGAAGTTCAAGAACACGGCCCCAGTAGGGTTTATACTTAATTCTTGCCTTTTTCAAACTATTTGCTATTCTTGTCATAGAAAAATCAGAATCAGCAAAGTAGCTTAATTAGTAACTTGCTCATCTGCATAGACCAGCACTAGCCTAAAGAAATATGTGAGCTACATGTAAATTCATAGTTGCCACATTAAAAAAGAAACAAAATTAATTTTAATACATTTTATTGAAACTAATACATCAAAAATGTCATTTAAGGAAATCAATGAAAAAAATACTATGACATATTCAGTCTTTTTTCATAATACATTCTTATGTGTATATTATACTCACAGCACTTGTGTACATTTGGACAAGCCCCATGTAGTGAGAGGCTGGCCTACCGACAGAGCAGTTGTGGGTGCTGATACTTCTATCATCCGACTCCAGAGGGTCCTGAGGGTCCTGAACTGCCTTTCCCGTGGTGGTGAAAGGTTGAGGAAGCGATCACTCCCTTCGGGGGGAACAGAGAAAACAAAATATCACAACCACACCAAGTGAAGAAATTGGGGAGAGCTCCAACTTCTGCAGACAAAGTTTTAAGTGGGGGGGGTCACATAAAGAGATGAGTGTTACAGAAAAAAAAGATCGATGAAGCAGAACGGCAAAAGAAATGGAAGTCAGGTCGTTATTGCAACAGTTCAAGGCAAAGGGAGAGGGAGATGGAAGGCAAGAGTCATTTGGGGCATTTAAAAATTAGGAAGAGGTCAAGATGCTGGAGGTTTAATAACTGGCATTCCTGATCATGGCAGCTAACAGGTAGCGGGTACCTATAAGTTGACACGAGATTAGAGATCTCCATCTTCAGAGAAACTGTCAGGTGTTATAATTAGTTTTAATTACGGTCATGTGTTACATAACTTTTTGGTCAGTGATGGACCACATATGAGTATGGACCCATAAGAGTATAATACAGTTGAAAAATTCCTATTGCCTGGGATGTTGTAGCCATCATAACGTCGTAGCACAACGTAGTATTCATGTGTTTGTGATAATGCTCGACTACAGTGTTTATAAAGTCTATAGTAGCGTTTACAATGCCCGAAGTCTTCACATCCACTCACCAGGGCAAACGGCAGTCCTGCGAGCTCCACTCACGGGAAGTGCCCTGTCTAGGTGGGCCCTTGTCCCTGTATCTTTTCTATGTGTAGACACAGATACTTACCACGGCGCTACAGTTGCCAGCGGTACTCAGGACAGGAGCAGGCTGCACAGGTTTGTAGCCTAGGAATGTAGCAGGTTACATTATTTGGGTTTGTGTATGTATGCTCTACGATGTTGAAACAATGACAAAATCACCTAACAATGACGACATAAGAAATAAAAATGTTTGGGTGGGTGATACCAGGAATCAAGGTAGAATGTTTAAAGTTACCAGTGGGACATACAGTGAGTCCTAACCACTAAGCTCTGGGGACAGGTCTGGACTGGTGCTGGGACCATGGGAGACATCCCAGTGTTGATATGAGAGCTGCAATCACAGACTATATGAGACTGACCAGGGTGTATACTGAATGAGAAGAAACACTACCGCCATAGGACAAGGAGTATTCATAACAGAGCTAAAAAAATGTCAGATGTTTAAAGGAAAAAAAGACTGCTACATGTAATGATTTCTGTTTTGATATAATTGGCCTCTCCAATTTGGTCTCATTGTCATTCTAGCTGTCCTGGACTTGTAAGGACACACAGTTTACTCCTTTAAAAACAGAAGTTCTGGTTCAACATAGTGATGTAAGAAGATCCTGAACTTACCTCCTCTGAACACACTCTGGAGACAAGGCAATCTTCAGCCTGGGCGGAGATCACGGTCTAGGGTAAGTTTCCCCAGTCCTGAGGGTAAGCTCCCCTCAGAGGAGCTGGGTCAACCAGCTTCCCAGCCATTTTACCACCCGCACCTCCTGCCCCATTCTGAGGTCATTCAAGCAAAGTAAAGACACAGATAAATGGAAAGGAAAGATATGTGTTCATGGATTGAAAGAATATTGTTTAAGTGTCTATACTACCCAAAGCAATCAACAGATTCATTGCAATTACTTTCAAAATTCCAAAATAATTTTTCACAAAAATAAACAATTCTAAAATTTCTATAGAACCATAGAAGACTCCAAACAGCCAAAAGAATCTTGAGGGGAAAAATAACGGAAGGCATAGTGCTCCCTGATTTTAAACTATATGTTATAAAATGGTAGTAATTAAAAGAGTATGTTACTGGCCTAAAAACAGATACATAGATTAATAGAACAGAATAGGGAGTCCAGAAATAAACACATGCATTAAGGTCAATTAATTTATGACAAATAAGCTAAGATGTACAATGGGTAAAATACAGACTCTTCAATAAGTGGTATTGGGAAAATTGGGCACCCACCTGCATTAGAATGAAACTGGATTACTCTCTTACACTATACGTAAAAATTGACCTGAAACTATAAAACTGCTAGAATTAAAAACAGGTGGTAAGTTTCCTGACAGTGGTCTTGGCAGCGATTTTCTGGATTTGACACCAAAAGCAAAGGTAACACAAGGACTCCATAAAACTAAACTACTTCTGCACAGCAAAGGAAACAACAAACAAAATGCAACCTACTGAATAGGAGAAACTATCTGCACATCAAGTATCTGATAAGGGGTTAATTTTTAAAAAATATTAAAAATGAGCAGAGGATCTAAATGGACATTGTCCCAGAGAGAGAGCCAACAGGTACATGAGAAGATGCTCAACATCACTAATCATCAGGAAAATGCCAATCAAAATCACAGCGAGCTATCACCTCATACCTGTTAGAATGGCTGTTATAAAAAAGATAATAACAAGTATTAGGATGTAGAGAAAAGGGAACCCTTGTGCACTGTTCATGAGAATGTAAATAAATTAGTGCAGCCACTATGGAAAACAGCATAGAGGTTCCCCCCAAAATTGAAAATAGAACATATGACCTAGCAATTCCACTTCTGGGTATTTATCCGATAAAAACACCAATTCAAAAAATATCTTTGCAGCATTTACACTAGCCAACATATAAAGATGACATATATATGTATATATACACACACACGCACAGGAATGTTATTTTGCCATATAACAACATGGGTTGATCTTGAGGGCATTATGCTAACTGAAATAAGTCAAAGACACATACTGTATGATCCTACTTATGTTCAGAATCTAAACAAGAACAAAAAAAACTGAGCTCATAGATACAGAGAACAGGGTGTGTTGAGGGTGGGCAAAATGGGTAGAGTAGAAAGTTTCAAATTTCCATCTGTAAAATAATTCATGGCAATGCAATGTTCAGCATGGCTACTATAGTTAATAACGCTGTATTACATATTTGAAAGTTGTTAACACAAATTCTCATCACAAGAAAGNGCTACTATAGTTAATAACGCTGTATTACATATTTGAAAGTTGTTAACACATAAATTCTCATCACAAGAAATAAATTTTGGAACTAGATATGGTGACATGTCAACTAGACTTATTGTGGGTATCATTTCTCAACATGTATAAATATTGAATAATTATAATGTACACCTGAAACTAGTATGTCATATGTCAATTATAACTCAATTAAAAAAAGGGAAACAGCTACTGTGAGAAACAAGACATTTTCTCTAGGACATGACAATAACTAGCGCATTATTAAAGGTTTACCTTGCCTTGAGTGAAGTATCCCGACTGCCCTGCAGAGCACAACGTGCTCAGTCATTGCTGACAACCTGAGGAGGTTGGATACACTCCTGAGCAACTCTACCCCCCGGACCCGCTGCCCGAGCTCCACTCATACTGGCTGCTCAAGGACAGCATCGAGTTGGCCCACTGTTTTGTTATGTGACCTTTCTTATGCCATTTAACTTTTACCTGGGAATTAGTGGTGCTTGATCTCCTAAATAGAGAATGATAATTTCACATTGGAAAATTATTATATCAAAATATTTCGAAGTCCTTGAAATATAATGCATAATTTTTTAAATGTTAGTTTTATACAGGATGACAGCTAGATCTTAATCAAAATGCAAAGTCCCTTACATGAACTAGATCCTAAATTAGTCTGAAGTACATGTGTTACACGTTTTTCATTTTACGGAATCAAGTTGCAAATGTTTTTCATGTGGAATAGGAATCATTTAAGGAACAATGGAAACCACTAATCTAGCTTAATGCTTCCTTTTACTTTGGAATCATTTATTTCATCCCCTGGTTACTGGCGGTTCTATTAGAGTTTAGAGACAACAATAAGAACTTTGATGTTTTATGCTTCATTGGGAAAAAATTTTTCAGATATTTAACCTCTGATAATTGTGAATCCCATTAAAGATGCATTGCATATTTTCAGAGACTATGTGTTTTTAAACCACCAGAAAGTATAGAACACAATTTATCCTGGGAGATTTCCTTTAGGATCTATAATACCTGTTTTGTGGATTGTTAATACATACTATATATGGTTGTGGTGTATATTATATCTCTTATTAACTCTAGTGCCATCACTAATGTTTTAATATATAACTGTATGTGCCTCAAGGGAGCAGTTTTTGTGTTTTACTGGCAAGGAGCACACAAAAAATTCTCCCTGCTGTTCCCCTCTATTATAAATTAATATCCACTACCAGGGGACCTCTTACGATATAAAATTGTCATCTTGTGAGGGGTATGGATGAAATTACCACGGAGGAAAACTCAGTGGTAACTGGAGTATGAACAAGGCAGCACCTATTTGGCTGTACATGGGACCCCTGGTGTCTTACATTAATTTATGATAAATAATTTACATTGCTAATTTCAAAGCTTAATAATCTGCATTATCTTTTCAGTCACAATCTTTTCTTAATGTGTGTTTTCTATACTGAAATAAAATATTCTAATAACATGGAATCATTTTTGCCAACTCTGGAGTATTCTGCAATTTTTGTAAGAGAAGATTGTAGCCAGTAAGGGTACCTGGGGGATAGATCCTTTCAAACGACATTGCTGCCTGCATCGCTTTTCATTTTGGCAGTAAAGGAGTTTCAGGAGAAGGTGACTGATCCATAACGACAGTCCTGTGTGTTGTAATATGATGGTTGCCTGGCAACTCTACCTGTAGAAACTAAATATGAGACTCATCTCTGTTTTAATCCCCTCTTGTTGTCAAGGTGTATAGGTATTTAATATAGTAAGCTCAGAAAGTACTTAAAAGCAAAAAGGTTTGCTCATTTGGTGATCCTTTGGAAGTGTATAGGATTGCTGGATGTCAACACATAAGGTCGTGGGGAGTGAGTGGTACACGACGCTGGGAATAGTTATTGAATGTATTTGAATCTCTCTTAAACGAGCCTGAGCCTCACATTGGTGTCTCACACCCCTTACTTTTATCTCTTCCAAAGACATCTCTCTACATTTAAAGAACTTCTACTGACTATCATTAATGTGTTAGCTTCTGCACTAGATATGAGCTGGGGTATAAATGTGAGAAGACAGAGGCTCTATTCTTTCCATTGGGTGTGGACACTTTGTCACCTCGTGGAGCATACACCTGGAGAGGAATGTTCTGTCACACTCACGGCACATGCCCATCAGTATTAGCTATTCTATTGTACACACTTGCAGACATCAAAGTAAGCTGTGGGTTATGCTCAATGCCCGGCCCACTACTTGTAGCTCCAGTCTAGCTCCCCTCCTCCACCCACGCTCAGAGTGCGCTATAACATTGGTCATTACCCTAATCCAGTGATCCCTAAACCTCCATTCCTGTTTTCCATGCCTCAGAGTCACTGTCAGAGTCTATACTGTTTTTGACTTTGATGTTACTTACCTTAATGCCCTCATGATGTCCCCTCTATTTAAATCAATGAGTCCCACAGGAAAGCTGTGAGGCAAAATTGGCTAAAAGATAGCATATTTTACTGGTGAGAAAACTCTCCTTAGGGATAGTGGAGCACATCCAAGTTCTAGAAATGGGTAAGTTCTCAAGATAAAATACATTGTTTTCAATGCATAGGCTAAGAACTTATATTGCTAATGATGTAAAGGATCACTTTTTTTAAATCATTCCAAACTGTTCCAAATGGGGACACTTGGTCATTAATCTTCCATAGGGCTATTATCTTAGTGGGCTGAGGAAGTTGAAAAGTAGTTACCATTTATATGATTATAAGAATCAAAGCAGTAAGTATTTTTAATTGGCAACCAAAACACTCATGATTCCTATTACTTAATTTTATCCCAAATCAGTACATCTGATCACAAGGAACATAACTGAATATAAATGATCTACCTCCACCACCTGTCACTCGCTAAGAAAGCACAGCCTCCTCTGCCACAGCTCATCAGAAGGGCACATTTACTGTGGGTGTGACTGAATCCATCAGCACTCAGTTGGGAAGGCTGAAGCCGAAGCAGTGTATTACAAAATAAAGATTCATTACAGCAACGAGACCTCATGCAATTGTCAGAGAGGCTAGGGAAGTACGTATCCAGAAGGGAGAAATGCAAGATCAGAGAACAGTTGCCAACCAGCCTTCCTGAAGCACCGGGCTGGCGGTCCAGTAAGAGCTTGGGGGGAACCCGGGAAGCTGCTGTGGCCAGTGGCCAGTGGCCAGTGGCCAGGGTGGGGCGGGAAGGGCAGCCGAGTTAGAGCCTGTGGGAAGCTACCGGCCGTGGGGCAGCCGTCCGTGCAGGTGCTCAACCAGGCATCCCGTGGGCAGCCTGGGCTGCTGGTCGGCTGCGCTGCCAGGCACGAGGGAGAGCGGGCCGCCAAGCTGGGGCCCACTGACCCCCCGAGCTCTCCACACTGAACCACAAGCACCTGCTGCTTCACTGCCTTCTCCCCAA